GAACTAAAAAGTTCCCCTTTCTAGACTAGAATAATATTGGAACACTTGTTTCCTAAATATAATACCCAAAATATTAAAGGGGCCTGTGAATAATTATAATGGACAGAGCCTCCCTGTTCATTCATGTTTGATAATTCTGTGCACAAAACTACTAGAATTGACCCGGGTAGCCCTTCATCTGAAGTATTCAGGCACACAATATATGCCACACCGACTGCATCTGTGAACATGTAATGTTTTTCTGATCTGTCATAACTAGAGACTTTTGCTGTGAGAAGGGTATTTTGGTTCCTTACATCATTGTCCAACAAATTAAAACTTTAGAAGTATCTTTCTACATTTTGGTTATTTTTCATGTTGAATTTTCTGAAATTACTTTCACATTGGTAACTATTATTTTCTTCTTTTAAATTTGGCCCCACACTCATCCAAGAGAATAATAATTGTTACCACCTGAGGGGCCCAAAGATTAAGGCAGATAGATACCAGACCCAGCACTTCGCACAAAACACTCAATATTAGCTAAAATTATCATAAAAATACTTCTGCCTTAGACAAAGTAGTCACAAAAGAGGTGCCTAAATAACTTTTATAGTACATCTTTTTCTCTTCAAAGAAATTATTTTGAACCATTTCTTAACGATGGTAACTTATTCTAAGAGTGACACACATTATCAGAATTCATGACACCTGAGCCCTGGTATTTATGTTAAGTGTGTGCATGTATGGCATGATGGCAAACAAACTTTGGTTAAATATGACTGAAAAAAAAGGTAAATGTAGGAGCGCTTGGGTGGCTCAGTCAGTGAACGTCCGACTTGGGCTCAGGTCATGATCTCACAGTTCGTGAGTTCAAGCCCCGTGTTGAGCTCTGTTCTGACAGCTCAGAGCCTGGAGCCTGCTTCAGAGTCTGTCTCCCCCTCACTCTGCTCTTCCCTGCTCATGCTCTGTCTCTCACAAAAATAAATAAACATTAAAAAATTAAAAAAAAAAAGTAAATGTACTTGATGCTTGTAGATATTTGGCCATAATGATAACAGATACAACAGATACCTTTCTCATTTAGGATATTTTCAGGGGCTTTTGGAACCTAACCCTCAGTTAATATGATAAACATTTCCCTTTACTCTCTTTCCAAACATACAATATTCCAGAATTATTTCAATCACACTCATTATTCAAACTCCTGAAAAGAAAATACCTAAGAAAGTGCCAGTAAGTGTATCTCTCCATAGGGTTTCTCTGTGCTTTATTATACCTTTTGGTGAAATGTGCTTGACCAGGTGGTTTTTCATTTCACAGTAAAAACCTGAAGTCTGCACATATAGGCCTACAGAGCCTACATGGTCTGAGCACACCTCCATAGCCTCAGGCTTTCTGCTGCTACTTACTGGTCCCTTACGCGCTGGCCTCCATGCTGCACTTTACTCCAGGAGCTTTGTATTGGCTTCCCCCTGCCCGCAGTGTTCTTCCCTAATCAACCTACAAGGCCGACTTCCTCACCTCATCTTCTCAACGCAGCCCCACCCATTCACTGTAATTACTATAGTGAAATTACTACACCTCGTCATCTCCTTTACACTGTCCTGCTTTTTGTCTTCCTTGATGCTTTCTGACATTTCTTCTCGATAAGTGAATTAAAGTCATGAACAGTACAACTATTAGGTTCTAAAGGCAGACGTTGACTTCTGTCTGTTGAACAAGCACATCCTTCACCAAAAGTGCCTTTGCCCCTATAATCATCCAGCAGAAAAGATGAAATGGCTTACACAGAATCACACAGATAGTTGGGAGAGCACCCAATCGTTCGCTTTGTTCAATAATGTTCCCTGCGGAGCTACGTTGGAGGTTGTCTGTCATCATTTTAAGTTGTCACTTCATCTTGGTTCATACCCAGTGGCAAAGGAAATGAAGAGATAAATTTAAAACTTAACCAGGCTTTTCTATTTTATAACTTTTTGTGCCTTTCAATCTGCAGGTGGAAAATATCTTTAGAGGATGAGAAAGTGAATACAATGGTTTCAGACCTTAACTGAAACAATATTATAAGTCTCTGACTCAGTCTTAGAGAGTGAGCATATTTTAAAATAACTGTAATTAAATATTATGACTATGAAAGGAACACTAATTCTTGTAGCAGGTGAAAATAATGCAGGCGTCTGTAACGTGAGTGGGGGCAGGGGAGAGAGCCGTCTAATTTTGGTCTACTGGAACCGGTATAGATTTTCCTTCTAACTCAGCAGAAAGGTGGCTTTAGGGGGATAGTAGCAGCTTTCCTTTCTGCTTGGAGATTTCAAGTTCAAGGTAGCTGGGCCAGTTTAATATGCAGGCCTGCCTGTGACTAATCCAGTGAGTTGTTAATTCGGCCCTTGCTGATGCTGCCACCATGGCTCTGAGCGGCCACTGGTGCTTGGGTATACGTTCCTTTGCTCCACTTTGAAACAGTTCCGAATCTTCTGAAAACGAAAGAACTTGGGTATTCAAGGGCCTTTTTTTGCATCTGCAGATAAGTTGCCTTGTTGTGGGGGCTGAGAAAGTCAGGGAGTGTAGACTTCTTCTCATTGGCTCATGCAGCTTCTTTCCTTCCTGTCTTTTCCCTCGTCAATGTCAATTGTTCAAACTTCAAGAAAAATTTAATTTCCTCTTTTTGAACCTAGTAATATTCTCTAAGCTACACCAGAGTTGTGATTTTTCTCAAGGTACAGAAAGAGAATCTAAAAGAGGAAGAGAAGTACAACAAGTAACGTATTTGTTAGAGTTTAACATGTGGTTGCTCATTTTAGCCAATATAATTTCAAATTGTTAAAAGCACTGAAATATATTTATTTAATGAGTTCATATGCCTGAAAACTATAATTAGATGTTTGAAAGAAAATGAGGAAATGTTTCCATTTTTTTCCTTATCCAGAACATTGGAAATTAAGGAAAACTGTTTCCTGGATCATTTTAGTCTTGCTAATGGAACTTATTTTCCTCCAAGTTTGGTTTCTCCATCAATTATTCAGAGATTAAAATATATTATACTGTAATATTTAATCTCATGTATCTTCTAATTATAGGTTATTATCAGAGGAAAGATGAGATTTTCTTGTGTCTTCACCAGACCCTCTCCCCACCAGCCTGCCCCCCATATATTAGAAATGCCTAACTTGGATAATCATTCTTTAAAGTCACGTTCCTAAAGTCTGAAGGTCTTGTTGTTCGGAGTGCTTTGCAAAGCTGGTTTGTTTAAATTTGGTGCTTTGTGCCATTGCCGTGAATTTTAGCTAATTGTACTGCCATTTTTTAGAAGTCATGTGTGCCTAATTCTGAAAATGGCTTTGTGCATTAAGGCTCATTTAACCACTGATGGTTAGAGAGAAGTTGAGAGACTTAACAGTCATTGCTCATAATTTTAAAACAGTGATAGCATGGGACTTTCTTGTACTGCAGGCATATAAGACGCTATGTTGGCAACCTCTGTCATTAGCAATGTTGCAATTTGGCTTATGTCTTACCGGTCAAGATGTCACACAGAAGATATGTTTAGTTGTGGAAAGAAAATCAGTGTCCAGCATGCAAAGATGGTAATAGGGTAAGCACTTCCAATTGGATTTTCATAGGAGGGATTGATTTGTGTGCATTACTAGGTCTGTGTAAAATGGTGTCCTTTTGGCACTAGCTGAATATAAATTTCAGTAAATGTTTTTTTCTTGCTGCGGATTAGTGTAATACAGTGAAATTTTCTGTAACTGAGGGGAGGCAGTGGTTGGGCGTCTGCTAATAGCCTGAAAGTAACTAATGAGGATGTGCAGTCGGAACGATTGATTGAATAGCTGCAGTCCTGTGTGTTTCTTTCTCGCTTGCTCTCTCTGCAAGCTGTAGGGAGGGAGGGGGAAGAGCAAGACACAGGGAGGGAGCGAGAGAAAAAACGCTTTCTCTTAAGTAGAAGTAGCACGGATCCCAGGGGCCAGGAGGCCAGAAATGGAAGTTTAAACTGCATCTATCTTTTAAAGGGAGAACAGCAGGAATCAAAATGTCAGTCTCCGGAGTCACGATTTACTCCTTATTTTTTAAGATCTGGAAGATAATACAGAGTACTTTTTTTAGGATGTGTTTTTTTTCCTTGTCCATGTTGAGATTATCTAATGTTATCTGAGAAGCTGGATTCCTATATGTCTGTCAGTTGACGTGGAGATGGGAAGCAGTTGTGATAAAGGTATAATATGTGTATATCTATCATCTGTGTGCGTGTGTATGTGCATATATATATGCATATATTTATATCACTCTGTGAAAAAAATGTTTAAATGTAACCTTAATGTAGTGTACAGTAATTAAATTAGAAAATATCACATCATCTGCAAAATCCGAAGCTTGTTAGGTCAGTTTGAACAGATTTAGGAATACAGAGTAAGATCTTAGTAAGGTCATATTGCCAGCACAAGGAGAAGCTGATCTATTTTTATATCTGCATAGGCATATATGTTATTTTATCCTAGCAGCAGCTTTCAGTCGCCTCATGGCCCTTTGGTTGCAGTCTGGCGAATCATCTTATCTGCACAGAACTGAACTTTGACCTTTGTGCAGACACCATCGAATCATGTACAACACAAGACTATATTTTGTTCACAAGAATGCCAAAATTGTCTTTGGATTCTGTTAACTCCTGTGTTGCTGACAAATAGAGAAGTATATTCATGTACTGCGAGATGCGAATTTCAAGTGAATTTGTAGATCTTAAACATAGCTCAGAAAATGTGAAAATATTTTTTATGTGTGCACAGATGAAATTATAATCTGTCATGCTAAAGCGGATTCTTAACTGTGACCAGGTCTCCCTAGTGTCTTGATAGTTCGAATACCACAGAGAGAAACAGAGAAATCATGTGGAGATAGAATGTAATATGCCTTTAAAGGAAACTGATTTTTTGTGGGGGAGAAAACCCCCAATAATTTTACATTGTAGTCAAAGATCCTAAATTTCGGTTTCTTAATGATGTTTCTTTCTTCTTTTCCAGAGGTGCCGGCAGAAAGGTCCCCCCGCAGACGGAGTATCTCAGGGACCAGTACATCAGAGAAACCCAACTCCATGGACACTGTAAATACCTCACCCTTCAAAGTACCAGTAAGTGCTCCTCCTCTCTAAAAGATATTTTACTTTTCTCTCCTTTCTTCTTAGAGACAGTTACTAAGGAATCCATACATTTTGCTCAAGAATTTCTTTATAATACTGAAGTTACAGGACACAGTTATCAACTTATGTAGATTAACTGTGGTTAATGTCCACCACTTTGAGTAGAAGGTTTATTACATTTTAGGGAATAATTATTAAATTCAAATTCCTCTGACCTACAGAGTACAAATCTTTGCAGGATGCCCTTTTATGAAGTTACTAGTGAAAATCTGTTACCATTCTGTAAGGATGCTGGTAGGATTTTTTTTTTTTTGGGAAAAGTTTTTTGGTTTTTGGTGTTTTTCGTTTTGTTTTGTTTTGTTTGCCTTGAGCTAGAGGATAAACAGTGAATGATGGGACTCATAAAGTTGCAGAGCAGATTATCGGAGAATTAGACGATTGTGAGTTCTATTCCTGAGACCTGGCCTGTGCTTTGCTTAAGCCATCTTTTGGATGACCATCTAAGTGCTTAAGAAATACCCTGGAAGAAATATTCCTTAAACTGACTAGGCAGTACTAAGAGTCAGTATTAAATATTGAATGCTGAGATCAGAAGGCTAGAAGCGATCAGGTCAGCTGACCAGCACTTGCAGTCCTGTTTTGTACCTTTTTGATATAACTCTGAGTAACCCAGATTTTAATCCATCCATTTTCTTTGCTTATTTAATAAGAAATATACTGCCTAATTATATCATTTCAGTAAAACTTATTGTTTTTAAACTTGAAAAGAGTAACTATCATGAAGCTGGTCATTATTGTAGGTACAATGGAAAACACTATAAAGTAGAAGTAGACTTTTCTACTGGGGGGAAAAAAGATGATTTTCTTTTAATTCAGCTAAGTTAATATGTTGTATTCCTTATTTATATATTCCACTACTTTTTGTTTTTTTAAGTTGGGATAACTCTGTAGGTTGAAATGATATTTTGAGATATATAAGCTGGTATTCATTTATAAGTCAACCAACATGAATGTTTTATTTTGGATTAACTCTGAAGAGCAAGATTTCCCTTTATTGTCTCTCAGTGTCTTGTAGCATTTTTGAATATCTGTTACTGTGTGACACCTTCCAAATGTTTACAGATTCTCTCATTTTTAAAGATCACAAGCAAGATTGGATTAATATTCTAACAATATTATGACGGAATGATAAAATATCAGATTTCATTCCTTTTACCAAATTTCTTTCTTCCATAGACCTAGCTTCCCACTTAAATGTTTGGGTTTTTTTAATGAATGAAAAGGGCATTTTTTTTTTTTTTCTCTTCCCTCCCCTTCTTGTCTTCCTGATGAAACAGAAATCAAATATAGTGAAACTGACTATCCATACACAGTGTTTGGTGAAAAGGATTGAATTAGAATTTGTAATTTTCATACAAGCCTGCTAAAATAGAATGGTTAATTCTTAATTTTTTTTTAAAGTCAATAACTGAAGAAAAATATCCTTCTATAACATTCAAGTACTTCTATTGAATCTGAAGTTCATGACTGGGCTTTTTAAGTTTGAATTAAGAACAATAATTTTCATTTGTATTTAAACAGTTGATAGCTAATTTGAGGTTTACCTTAATAATACTAATTACTCTTGAGTAAAAGTAATAAACCAATGATGCACATACATGATGGTGAGCACTCCTTTACAGACCATTTATTCAGCTGTTACTCTTCTGACAACCTCAGCCATCTCACAGATTAAGAAATATTGAAGGAAAGAAGGAGCCTCTGACTGGCAAACTGTAGTTCCAAAGCCCATGCACTTAGCTCTCTAGGAGAATTTAACTATTCGTAAGTTCTTACCTAGGCAGTTATTTGAAAAATAACCATCAGAACACATTGATTGTAATTTTTGAAAAAATGAAGTGAGTTGGGGGGAGGAGGCAGAGGAAATGAAAAGCAAGGACTCATAAAAACAACCTGAATCCACTTATTATAAAGGCAAATAGCCCAGTGTTGCCATTGAACTACAGGAGTACCATTGAATTACAGGACACATGGAGAATAGTGAAGTAATTGACATTGATAATAATGATCCTGAATCATTAAGAAAAAGTGAAATTATATTTGTCATGCCAGTTTTTTTTAAAGTGTCACTGTGCAATATTGTGATATATATCCATTGAGAATATTTTAAATCTTAAAAATATCTATTGCTTATAAAACTTGTTATCCAGAAAAATATGGTTTGTGAAATACCTTATTCCATGATGGCTCTGGATAAATAATTTATATTCTCTTAAAAGAAACCAAAATATGCTGTCTAAAAGAGGCAGTGCGGTACTCAGATATCTGTAAATTCACAGTATGTTTTAAGTTTCCGTATAATACCAATAGCTAATATGACTGACTTAAATGTAGTGCCAATTAGAATTGTGTCTAGCTTTCAGATCAACACAGAATGCTTTTGTAATTAATATCACAGTGGAGTCTGCATGTGAGAAAGCAGTGTAAGAAGGAACCAAACTTTGAGATACTTAACTAAGTTACTAATACAGTATCCCATGCTATTAGCATGATTGTTTCCATGGAAGTGATCCATGTTAACTTTCTGAAGGGGCAAAAGTGAGATTTAAGCACAAGTACTTGTGATCCTAGGATTCACGTGTCTTTACTGTGGTGTAAACAGCAGGTTCACAACTTATCGGGTGGACCCTCCAAAGGGCTTACTCTTCCCGGCTCCATTTTCAAGCAAATACTGAGGGCAGATAAGTAGTTTTTAGCAAAAGCCTTGACTGAAATTATTGACAGTGACACACTTCCCGAATGGTTGCTTTGGGCAAAGTATTAGTGATTCACCAATTATTGATACTTTCTTGGCACTAGGTCCTAGGGACACAGAAACGAACACAACAGAATTTTCCACTCCCAGAGAATTTAAAGTCCAGTAGTAAGAGACAGAAAAATGACCAGATTCATAAGGAGGTAGATAAGCGTGGTGACACAGATTTTTAACAATGCATTGTGTGAGCAAAGGCTTTTCCGGGGAGCCAGTATTTGAGCTGTTTCAAAGGCTGAATGAAAATAATTGACGGGAAGAAGAGTATCCCAGGCAGAGGCAATAGCAGTTTAGAAAGACACACTTCATAAAGTGACTGAGGCTTGCAGGGGATATAAGGGTTCAGTGAGCAGGAACCAAAAGGCATGTAGGCCAAAATGGCAAGAGAGAGGATGGGGAGGTAGGTTGGGGCAAGACTGGGAATGTTTGTTTGTCAAACTTAACTAAATTTGGCTGGCCATTAAAGCGTTAGAGATTTGTTTTCTGAAATATTTATCTTGGCTCAAAAGCTAAACCAGAAAGGAGCTAGCCACGGACTCTCCAAAAGGGCTTTCTTTCCAGCTCCATTTGTGTAAATACTGTGAAGTATTGGTAAATTTCTTGACTCTTCCCCAAGTGACTCTTTTTTCCCCTTGCTATCGGCATCATAACTCAGGGCGACAAGTCAGGGACTGCCTGCCATTCAAGAGAAGGCCAGCCCTGCACCCACCCCAGGCTATCAGCGGTAGAGTAGTGGTTAGCTTTTGAGAGATCAGGATCAGGAGAAGCAAGGGGATAAGAGTCACTTGTATCCTGCTGACTGCTGCTGGATGTGGTAGAAAGGAGCCAGGGAGTAAGATTGCAGTGAGCCCAAATTAGGGAAACCCAAAACCTTTGTATATCTTTCCCATTCCCCAAAATGTATATTTTTATAATCTTAGAATGGATAGCCAGTACAACAGTCTATTCATGTGTAATTCTTACTTAGTCTAAGCCATCTTTATGCCCGTGGTAGACAGACGAGTCAATAAGTTGAAATAAGCTGAAAAGTAAAAATAAACATAAGAGGGAACTTAGGTGGCCACTGAATCTATAGGTAAGGCAAGGTCTTGGTGTTTAGGAATTTTCAGTGCATTTGTACTTTTATCTAATCATAGGCATAAGGAAAAGCAGTGATCTGCAGGATACTTTTCCTGTTTCTTCTGTTCATTCCATATTTCTTTACCTTAATTCCAACTGCAGTTGTTTGTTTCTAGGTCCATGTCCCTCATTAGACAATAAATATCTCCTCTCATCTTTGTAGCTACCTCAGTGCCTAACACAGTACCTTGCACACAGTAAGCACTCCACAAATAATTGTTTAATGGATAAGGCATTCATGACTTACTGAGTGACCAGAGTCAAGGGAGTGTCTCACGTTTACTCTCTTAGTATTACTCATGATATCAGTCAAATGGATTACTAAACCTTTTAATAATCACCAAGCGATTGTTTGGAGTAAATGCGTGTACCTGTGCAAAAGAGTTACATGTTTTTCTTCAACCAAAAGAGATTTTAATATATATTTGGAATTCGGGGTTTTTTGGTATTTTATGTATATCGTGTATTCTGTGTCTACTTACACTGGGAAGTGTAACTAGATAGAAACCTTTATTTAATGTTTTGTTTCTGTGGATGTTTCTTTGAGCCCTTTACGTGTCATATATATGTGTAAGCTCACAGTGTTTTTGCAGATCTGAGTTTTGACTATTAGCTTCTTCAGGAACACTTTTAGTTACTTAAGTCGTTTTTGCCTCTTTTAAAAAATTTTTTTTTTCAACGTTTATTTATTTTTGGGACAGAGAGAGACAGAGCATGAACGGGGGAGGGGCAGAGAGAGAGGGAGACACAGAATCGGAAACAGGCTCCAGGCTCCGAGCCATCAGCCCAGAGCCTGACGCGGGGCTCGAACTCACGGACCGCAAGATCGTGACCTGGCTGAAGTCGGACGCTTAACCGACTGCACCACCCAGGCGCCCCTTTGCCTCTTTTTAAAGATGCTATTTTTCATTTTTTTCTTTATCATATTGCTAGACTTTTTACATTTGTCACATTTGTGCTTTCCTTTAAATAAAACATCCATTGTATGGTTTATACATTGTTAAAACTATATTCAAATAATATTTATAGGGGTAATTAGGAAGAAACGAGTAAACTAACG